TTGATTAAAAAAAAAAATAGAAATGAAAGCAACAGGGGATTTAATTGAGTGAAATAGGGGGTGCGGAGTGACTTCTATTGTTTTTAAACAAATTGATGGATCGAGTTTGAAAATTATTGCGAGATCCCAACAGACGACGCAGAATATGTCGGTCGTACCGCGCAGTGGCAAAAGGCGAGGCGACTTTCTCTTCTACTTCGATTCAGTGGCTCTCAATCCCACTTCCTGTTTACCCCCTACCATAGATTCTATTACTCCGATGCCTCAACAACGTAATACGGTTTCCCAGGAAAAAACAATATCCAAAAAGAAAAAAATTATCGATTCAATCCGGAGTTCCTAGTCTAATTAAGATTGAATTGACCCGAAACCTGCTCGATTCGAGTAGATGGTATCGGCTTGATTCAAATATCGGAAGCCGATATCAAATGTCAAGTTGTTTTTTTTAAATTTCACGTTTCAATGGATTAATCATTTTTCGGCGCGGATCCAGTGGGGAAATGTTCAATTATTTTGACGAAATTTTTAACTGCGCTACTCGCGCTATCGGAAAAATCTTGTAGCAGCAGTAGTTCGAGTGTAGATCGTGCGTTTACGTAACGCTAGAAACACGATCGTTAGTGGGTATATAGCGTAGGAAAAACGATCGAGTGCGTTAACCCCGTGGCCGCAGGGCAACTAACGACAAGGCAAAAGCACCGGGAGTCCGACGGTGACGATGCAGCTCAGGCAACCGAGGCTTTCACTCGTTTAACTACAACTACCTGACGTTGACAGTAGATTAAAATAACTACAATGCCCCTACACACTGCTCAAAATTATCATCTCAATTTTCCGAACGAAAATTCTGGAAATATTTACTGAGCCATCAAAAATTCATAATTTAAACAAAACAAATGGAAAACCAAAAAATTTTTGAATTTCACAGAATTCTCATTGGATTTTTTTTTCCCTAAAAATAATGGGGCACAATGGGTTCACAGCCAGTGTTCAATTGCGGAAATGAGTCCTGCGGGATTGAGATGATAAAAGTTTATGCGCGCTGGTTCAAAATGGCGGAGGTAATTGCGCGATTCTAAGGTAAATTGAAGGGCGAGAATTTTCCGTGGCGTCTCTATGGGGTTTTCCCGAGGTCGTTGCCCCCAAATGTGGGGAAAAGGGATGGAATGGTGGAAGAGGAAAGGGGGTTGTAATGGCGGTATGAGAGAGGGGGTGAGAAGGGGCGCCCTTGCCCTTGGCATTGCCGCTCGATACCAATGCCCAGGGCTGTCCAAAACACAATCGAGTGGTTAAAGATCTCAACATCTGTCTACTACTATTTTAGGGAGAAAAAAAAAAGCTTCAATTTCCAATTCACTCTGGAAATTTCCATCGTCAACCGCCGCTCCAGTGAAACGAATTCACTCCGTTTGAAAATTAATTATCAATTTTTTTAAGTTATTTTCAAAATTGTGTTTGGATAAACAAGTAATAATTCATGGAATTGATATTTTTTTGGAGACTGATGCTCGCGTTGAGGAGGAGAAAATAAAGACTATTGTTGGGGTTTTGGGAGATTTTGTCGAGGGTTGATCGAGAGATGGGGAGTATGACTGGAATAAGGGTGAGCCTTCGATTTTTGGGTGTTTCAATGAAGGAAAATTCGATGAAACTACGTAACGTATACGCATGCCCTCGGCCTTGCCCTTGGTCGATAGCCATCCCCTTTCAAACTGTATAAAGTACGAGAGTCATACGACATGGTCTCATGTACGTGGCACTCCGGTTGTTCTCGTCTTGGCATTTGCCATACGATTGATGCATACAACATACCACGTGGCCATTTTGTTGGTCACGTGCGATCGTACGTCAAGTGGATTAAGAAAGTACTTTTGATACGTGAAGAAAATTTGTAAAAATCCAAAATCCCCGTCTGAAAAATTCATTCCCGCAGAATGAGAAAATCCGTATCACGAATAATCCAAAAGACCTTCCCCATCTCTCAATTTATCTCCTCACGAAGCGCCTCTAGTCCATTTCGTTACAGAACCTTTTCCCTAGAAAATTCAATTCTCCAACTAAAACTTCATACCAAATTTTCCCGTAAACCCGCTCATTACGGAGATAATTACGCATTACTAACAGCTCTAAGAACAGTCTTTAGAATTTCAACTTTCTTCGGCCATTATTTTTTTTTATCAACTGAGAACCCCATGCCCTGGATTAAGGAAAAATATAATTGTGAGGAGATGAAATGGAAAAGTAGTTTGTAAATTAATAAAAGAAAGGGTAAGGACAGGGGGGGTGGGGGTTGGTGAATTGTAAGGACTATGGAGACTAGTGAATATACGTTAGCATCAAGGGTGAACGACCGCAGGGGCACTAGGCTTCCTACCCCCTCTAGGGGTTGAAATGAAATGAGGGAGGCAGACATGAGAATGCCCTGGAGGGATGAGGACAGAAAATAAAGGGGATCAATACCAGGCCACGTGGTACCCCTCGGTCTCTTCATCCCCTCCTTCAAAGTATTCAAAACAAATACACAGCTCTTTGTTTATCATTACTCCCGTTGTACACTAACCTTTGTTAATAATCAATCGAAATATCGAATAAACTACTTGTGCAATTGTCGCGTAGAAAACACAAGGGGTTGATTTAAGACAGGCGGGAAAATGCCCCATTGAAAACACTCAGTTCAAAATTATTTACAACTTTAGAAAAATAAACTCACGTGTCTTCCATATTCTTTTCAATTATCCGTCAATTTTTCGTTGCGCTTCAACGAAAGCTTTAATTTTTGAAATGTTTAATTGATTCAAATGTTTAATTACGTAATTAACGGGTTTATGCGGTGTAATTTTTGGAGAGAATATTGAGGGAAACGAGGGGAAGTTAATATTGAAAAGACGGGAAAAATTTTGAATTGCGTCGTTCGAAAAGAAAATGGATTTTCCCGTTTGATTGTATATTGCACACCCCTGATTCTGAGTCTAGGTCGGTCATTCACCCCCCGGCAGCATCCCCAACACTCGCTCCCCACTCCAACCGCACTTTTTACCCCACCCCCTGTATATGACTATCGTCCAAAGCTTCTCGTGCGGATGACGTCAGTTACTGAATATCCCTCGTCGTCACCCCGCGCGTCATTTTTCCATTTTTTCATTTTTTTTGTTCATTGTAAACAATTATTTAACGGGATAATTATAGCAGAAAATGGGGCTTGGAGGGGTGAATTTACTGGATTGGAGAATTTTTAAGTGTTGGTGTATGTGTAATTGTTTAGTGCGATGTATACGGTGTGAACTGTAGTGAAAAGGGAAATTTACGTTTGAACGAGTGAATTGAGGAGAGAAGTTACGTGCATCGATTACGTGCGTTCTAGTTTACTCACACGTGATAATTTCAGGTGCGTGCGATATACTTTTCTCAGGGGTTTTACTGATTACTTATTAATTTTCATTAACTCGAGATATTATTTCTCGTACATTCGCTTTGTAGATAATAAAACTCCCGCGTGGACGATAATAGAAGTCTCAAAAAATGGAAAAACGGAATTGAAAGAAAATTTTTTTGAACTCGACAATTTTCGACGATCGAGGGATCTCCTTATAGGGGCCGCTATTAACGAAAGTTACGGCGAAAGGTCAATACCGGAGGAGGAAGTGGTTTACAACGCGAGCCTTCGTAATCTGACACGCACTTTCTATATTTAGAAAAGACATTTTTCGAAGCCGATATTGAGACAAAAATTAATATTCTTGGCGTTTAATTATTCTGAGGCGAGACGTACGAGCTATACCCGAGGGGAAAATTGGCTCAGCAAATCGGCCGTGATATTTCCGGTTAGAAATGCCACGGTGCAACCTGTTCTACCCCGGTTCACGAGTTCAGATCCAGTTTTATCGATAAGAGTTTGTCTTTTTTTCGATCCAGTTTTGTCTCTAGGAAGTTGTCACGGGCAGTATCCAGACGAAACGCGTTCACGATCAGAGAATGTCTTTTAGCGTTCATTACATTATTCGGTTGTCACTACTGGGAATATTTAAAAAGCCATCCTCGGCCGAAAAATAAATCAGAATTATCTGAAAAATGGCTTAAAAGAATGGTTCACTCCATCGAAATAGTATGGAGTAATTTGAAAGTGATTCGAGTAGAATAAATAATTTTAATAATTATTCAAAATCGCGAAGTGGCGGTGCCGCCATCTTGAGATCCCCTGACGGTGAGAGAAGAGGGAAGCCAAAATGGCGACACCTACGTTCCCGGGTTGCCGATTGTTTTAAAAATATTAATTAGAATTGTTTATTTACGTTACACTATTTCATGCCATTATTAACGATTTTTTTAAATTGAAAAATCGAAGGGGTGGAGGCTCTCGCACGTCAGTAGGATTTTTTCTGACGCCTCTTGAAGTGACGATAGACTTCAAGATTCGAATGAAGAAAAGAAAGCCGAAATCGAAATAAATAAGGTCGAGTATCTGTCAAGTCTTCGAGTATCGGTGATCTCATTGTTTGGAAAAGATTCTTGAATAGTTCTCTCAGTAAGATTTCCCTCCCGGCTATCCGCCAAAATGGCTTCCAGCCTTCGAAATGACCCAATTTTTTTTTCCAGCCCTTGACCTTTCATCAACTCCCCCTCAAAATCCTTATCTAACTCTCTCCTACTGATGTACGAGATTTCCCTCTCCTCTCGTACAAGTTGAACGAGATTTGCACGAGAGTGAAAGGCTCTCGTACACAGTACACGACGAGACTCCTGTGAAAACGAAAGGATTTCGGTGCACCCCTCCCTCATATCGCGGCGATTCCACGTTCGCTTCCGTAACTTTCACCATTGTTGGAAAAAATGAAAAATTTTTAAAACGGAGAGAGAAAGACGCTCTTTAAAAAATTATGTCTATCATCATATGCATGGGCATATGGGTTCAAAATTCTTCCGATAAATAGAATGTATAACAATACATTCAATATACGCTTGATATAACAATTTATATTATAGGAAGTAAATGTATTAAATACCTTAATTTCAACTCGTAAAATTCCCTCGGCCATAAATTTCCATTTGTGAAGCACACTCCATTGGATAACATTTCTTTCCGTAATTTCGTGTACACTTGATGAAGTCCCATATTTTCACTGGTACTGTCGATGGATTCCGGTTTTATTCACTTTGTACACTCAGAAATTCAAACGCATTTTCACCTGAAAAAGAAAATGAAGAAAACGGTTTTGAGAATTTTTCATATTGAAATATTGAAAATAATGTAAAATTCAAAAAAATTTAATACTGAAAATTGAATAGAGACAAATTTTTCGAGAAAGGTGTAGAATTTTAGATTGCAGAATAAAATAGAAGAGAAATCTTTATTTTTTCTTTCTTATTGAATGGACAAATAATTCACTGCAAGTAGAAATAGTACACCGTGCGGTGATGAGAACCGTATTATGGGAATATCCACCCGAGGTCGCCAACTTTCTCTTCAGCAAGAGAAGATTCAAACGTAATCATCTGTTTGGCTGAGAGAGAGAGAGAGGGGCATGTGCATGTGAACAGGGAAGGATTCCCGGGGTTAAATGCATTTTTTTTCCTTACAAAAAAAAAAAGAGCAGAATTCCTCTCTCTCCAGTCTCGCGGGCATGATTTAAAATTAGCAGTCAAGTAAAAAATATAAATTTCGTCAAATGACAGTGAATTTTTTATCCCAAACTTGAATTTTTATGTCACGATTTTCCAGAAAAGCATGAAAAATCGCGAGTATTCAATGAAAATATTGTTAGAGTAGCATAAAGGAAAATTGCCATATCGGATAACAACAATCGGTTTTATTGCAACTGGGGTCGAGACACGGTGTAAGATAGTGCGGAAGAGACACGGGGGAAAGCGTGTCGGCATTAATTTTCCGCTTGCTGCCGCTTCCATTCAATCTCGAGTTTACTGTTGTTTCAACGTTTGTTTATCAGCGTGTGATGGTAATATTATTTAACATTCTTTTCTCGTCTTTCGCAGTCGGTTTCATTGAATAATCCGTTCATTACTTTATGATGGCAATGAGATTCCCAAAGAGAGGGGAGTAGATATTTTCCATTATCGCCTCAAACATCAAATGCTTATGTGGGAAATGTTTTCGACGTTAACACGATTTTTAAACAATTAACTAAAATTTAATTGTTTAAAATAAATGAAATGTCGAATCATCCAGTAAATTGTTGGCGATATTATTTTTTCTACATTTAGTAATAGACTGAACAATTTTTATTTTATTCAGTTCGGGGACAGCTCTTGAAGTGAGAAAACATTCTAAGAAAATATTGTTGTATATTTTAATAAAACGTAATTGCTCTCATATAAAAGTGTCTTTTATTTGTTAAGCTGGCTTCCACAAAATTTATTCTCCTCAATTCTTCTGAAACCCTGGTATACAACTACCATTTAATTCACAGTGTAAGAAACCAAATTCCCTTTTTCATAATTTGTTAACGGGATCACAGAAGAATTGAAGAGGTACCATATTTTTTCGCTACTTTTTCAGTATAGGGGAATTTTTGAGGAGTTTTTAAAATAATGTAATTTTTCCTAGACTTGCCCTTCGAAATTTTGACATTGGAAAATACCTCATCGTTTACCCACAGCTATAAATAATTAGTTGTGTTAATTTTGTTAGAATTGTTAGTAAGAATAATTAATGAAGAGAGTACGGGATTATGCAGCGGTTTAGGTTGTCTATTACTCGAGGAATAGAGCATGTAATCCCCGAAAATGATAAAGTCGTCTGGCACGTGGGCACGAGGCCAAGGTGTCTATTTTCTGGGTATCGTGGCCTCATGGGACACCCAACTTACTGGACAAAGCGTGTGCCATTACAAACATAACACATAACCATTCTATTTTCGATTATTAAACGAACCAAATAACTCGAGTATCGATTCCCTTATTTTTACGCTTCACCAATTTCTATAAATCATAGAAATAACAATTCCTCTCAGTGTCCAAACAATAAAAACAATGAACAATAAAAAACATAATAAATGAAACGAGATAATTGAATCATACACCGGTTGCCTAACCATCGATCATCGGAATCATTACGGGATATCAAACCCTCCGGCTAGCGTGCGCCTGACCTGCGCCTAGCGTGCGACTAGCTTGCGGCTAGCCCGCGACCAGCTTGCGCCAAGTTAATGTTTAGATGACTCTCAAAACGTTTTGCTCTCCTGTTGCCCTCCAGAAGAAAAAATGAAAAAAGTCCCATAAAAGCCCATAAAGTCTCAGTCTGATCACCGCCTCCTCAGTTGCCCGCGCGGTTTCACCGCCTCCACCACCTCCTCCCCCTTCTCTAGCCCCCCTTCTCACCCTCACACCCCACCACCCACCCGCCCCCTTCAATTGCGCTGTATGCACCGACGTTTGTCCGTGGCCGCTGTCCCAGTCGTCGCCCTACTTTGTCCAAGCAAACGTCTGCTCGGGATAACGTACTGTACCGACTCCTACCCCGGTACCCAACTCACCCCCCAAATGACCCCAAAACAACCAACAAATGATTAAAAATTAGATAAATAAAAAAATTTTAAATATATTAACACTGCCTTTTTTTTCTGTTTCAATTGAATTTTTTTTTTTCGCGGGTGGTATTTATTTTCTAATTGACTGCCTTTTTTTTTTTAATTGTTAATGTGAGTGAGTTTGAACACGTGGGAACTTTTACACGCCCATTGACGCATCACTGCCAAGTTTATAATTTTTAATTGTTTAAACAATTGAAACAACGAGTTGAATAATTGAAAATAAAAATTGATGAAATCGCGAGGAGCTTGTTGATGAGTTATAGAACGGCTGAATTATTTTCATCGTTAATTAATGCATTTAAATAATTGTTATGATTTTCCATGGACAAGTGGATGGAAAAATTGTGGGGAACAATTTTTTTCATGGATGTTTTTGGGGTCAATATCGGACTTTAGTCGGGTAAAATTTTCGAGAGGTGATAATTGAGCTTGAGAAGTTTGTTTAAATAATACTGCTTCAGTGTAATTGTTCACTGCCACGAGTAACGAATAAATAAAGGAATGTAAAATATTGAGAATAATTTCAACGAGTGTCAAGTGAACGTCCTGTTCGACGCAAGGACGCTGTGTTCATTATTATTATGTTAATTATGTCATGAGGATAGACAATGAATTAATGACTGATTTTGTTTATAAAAAAATTGAATCATCACTGCCCTGAGAATTTGCTCAGTATTAAAAACAAATGGAGATAAATCGAATTCTCATCATGATATTGAGAATCTAACGAATAAGTGATGCCGCCGGTGAAAATTAACCAATTGTTCATAATATTTGAGTGCAATTATTTCCCATTAATTAGTTATATTATTTGTTCAACGTGTTGAATATTTTGAGATACTGTTAAACCTCGAGTGCGTATTTTCCATTGAAAACGAGAGATTGTACCCAAGGAGTTGAATTTTTACGATTTTCGATGTCTTGAACAGCAAAAAATGTGAGTTTTATAAATGACTAGTTAATTAATTAATAACTAATAGATCAAATTGATTCCTCCAAGCAGCGGTTGAGACGCGCTATCGAACGCTTATCATATCGCGGCGTATGCATAAAAAATCCATCCGATGAATAAAATCTATAACAATTTATTAAATATACAAAAGATACAGGCTTATTCATAAAAAAATTAAGTGCACGGCATACCGCATTTTTTATAAAATTCTGATTTTTCAATAACTCTCTATTAGATAATAATCAATCATGTTATGATTCCGTCCATTTTGCATTATTATTTTCTGGAATTAATTATGATTTCCGTTATATCTGGATTTTTTCAAAAGATTCGATCAGTCGTCGAATGAAATTCACAGCGAAATATTTATTACTAATAAAAGGTAACAAATATCTGAATTTCAGTTATTGCATTGACAATTAATAGATATCTTTGCGTCTATTTGAAGTGGTTTACCTTCAGCTTTGGATTTATTTTTTCCATCGCTTCATTTTTTTTTATTAACCATGAAATTATTCTGCGGAGTGTGGGAAAAGGTCTAGGTCATTTCGGGGATTTTATGAGACTTCCGTGTGTCACCATAAATTCACTCCGTCGATTTCAAGTGTTACTCAGGGATTTCTCGTAGTGTCTTTATTTTTCGAGTATTTTGAGGAATTTTTCTGGTTATTTTTGTCCAAGGTGGAGGGCGAAGAGTTCAATGCCGCAGATATTTTCGAAGATTCATCGATTTCTGTCAACAAACTCACAATTCTCGAAAGATTATCACCCTAAAATTTCTCATTCTCCTCTTCAATCTTCACAACCGAAATTTCCAATGAATAATCTGATCTCTCTGATCAGCTCAATTTTTATCAATTGACAGTTTCAAACCCAAATTTCAATACTCATTAAATAAATTAATGATTTCTAGTCGATTCTCTGAAATAACGACTTCCGGTGTCTCGTTAGACGTTTGATCCCCGAAGTACCAAAAAATCACAGAGAATTTTGGGTTTATCATGAGTGGGTCATTCTCTAGGGCATTTGAATAAGGCACGTAAATAATAGTGTCGTAATAACGAACCGGATGACGTGCGTACATAGTACTACACTTGGAGGCCACAAGAATGAGAAGTGCGCAAGCGTCGAACGCCAATGCATTGGGATAGGTCGTGTTCATGTCTAACACTGTGCGAATTTTTCGCCCTCATTCTCTTCTTTTTTTTTTCCCCCGATCTCACATGAAGTCTAGAATTTTTCCTCCATCCTTGATTTTTATTATCGTCAATTTATGAATTACATCTGTCCTTCTCTCCGCGTGTGGCATTGACGAAAAATGTTGAAAGAACTTCGAAGATCAATTTGGTGATCTCATAGCGTGTCCCTGACACCACGAGAATGTCAAAGATCGGTTGCAAAACCCCATTCAAGGATTATTTTAATAACGAAAAACAATATATTTAAAATTGACCAGAGGATTTTTCATTAATTAATTCCCCTTTTTTTTCTCGGATGAAAAGGAAAATGAGTATCAAATCGATAGCTTTCGAGATAAATCGATAATTGAATCGCGTTGAATTTGATATTTAAAAAAAATTAAACTAACCTTCCAACAAGCGTCAGTGATTCAGACTTCTCTCACTGTAGCACAAAAATAATAACAAACACTTGTAAAAAAACATTTATAGCCACTGCAAATATATTACCCACGTAATTGCCTTTAGGATCTTGTCGGAAATTCCAACAAGATCACGGACAAATGCGTCAACATGACAAATGTACAATTTTCCACAGCAAGGACACGCGATTTGCACCAGTACGTGGAATCCTCTAAATATCTCAACGATTAACACTCACAACTGAATTATGTATCGATGCCGGAAGAAGTTTATTCTAATCAAGACATTGAAAATTATATTTCCCAAGGTTTTTATCGTGTCAATTTTTTTTTTACCGCGACCTTAAGACAGATTTTAAAAAATCCCACTATTAAATCGTTGAAAAAATCACAGCTCGATGTTTTCGACCGAAATTTTTCCATCTATCGGATTAAATTATTCTAATAAATTCCCCCCTCCAGTGAAGGTCAACCGCCGAATAAGAACGCTGTGACCTTTACATTTCTTCCCTAACACTACAACAAGAAATTTAAAGAAAAAAACGGAACAAATAGAAAGTCCAGTGTTTTGGTCTAGGCCTAGAAGTGTCTGCTTTCACCGTCGCGTCAAAAAGGCGCCGGTTAAGATCATGGAGTAACTGTTTTAATCCAATACAAATAGATGTGTAAAAAGGCCTCTGGTAGGGTCATAAGGTCGAGGACTCGGACAATAGTATGAGCAACAGTGAGATTTAGTATAGCATTGGAGATTGTTGCAGCGCACGGTCAATGGATAGTCGATTATTTTTCATATAGTTTTTCGAGTTGATGTGTGAGTTGGTATTAGAGAATATTAGTTATAGAGGAATAAAAAAATCTAGTAGATGTGGTGGTGCCTAGTCCCGAGTGCACGGTGTGATTGACATTACTAAGTATGCCATGGCCAACTGGCTTGCACTGGCGATGGAATAAATGCTGTCGTGATGCTGACCACTGACACTAGAAGTCTTATCAATTTTCTTTATCAATGTTTTTCAGGGTAACGGAATTACCCTCGGATCGCCAAAACAAGGGGATGAATTCAATGAAGAAGAGAACATCCGAGAATTTTTTATCATCGATTTTTTAGGGCATCGATTTTTTAGGGTCTAGATATATCTAGATATAAATAGATAATGGTCGATAACGAATCATCCGATTCGAATCAACTCGAACGTGAATTCAATTGAAAATCAATTTTCATTAAAATATCCCACCGTGCACCCCTGAGAATCCGAAAGTTCACTTTCCATTACAAAACTCATCAACTTTCCTCAGATTTTCCACACCGAAATCCCAAAAAGCTGATCAATACCGATGAAAGTGAAACTCTTCTCGACAGGAGACAAGGACACGGTCGCGACTGTAATGAGAAGATTCCCCACCCAAAATTGGTGTGAAAAAAAAAAAAAAACAAAAAAAAAGAGAGAAAAAGAAAAATAACGGGAGGAGAAGGAAAGGAGAAGAGTGAAAGTTCCTCACTCATCTCTCCTTCTTTCTCCCTCGTCATCTCATTTTTCTCCATCTCTCTCCCTCCCCTCTCCCCTCTCTCTCCCCCCGCGCAATTCGAATGGGCTCATACGCGGTAAAAATGTAGTTTTTTTTTTTTGTACGAATCGAGGTCACTGTTACCACCACTACCTCCCACCCAGTTTGGCCCGCGTTCGAAAACGCCCGTTGAAATTTTTCGGTTAGTCAGTCGAGCTCGGGCCCCCAAAAACTTGAGGCAAGAGCTCGGAAATCGATCGCAAAATCATAAATCGATAAAAGAAAACGTGAGAAGTACATGAAAGTACTGAGTACTGAGTACTTCAAAATAGATAATAATAAAGTGCTGAGAATTGCTTTTATTTTGATGAGTTATCAGTGATTTCTCTTTTTTTTGTGGGAAAAGTCGGATTTAAAAATTAATTTTCCCTTTTTTGTGAGTGTGTCAGTGATTTTGTGGACCTTGTGGAAGAGTGAGGATGTCACTGATTCTGTCCTCGATGGTTAATGGGAGTTGGCTCGCGAATTCGTTCAGCCTCGGATCAACTAGATATCAATTGAATGGACTATTTCACGGTTTTGTGGTTTGAGTTTTCAGGGAGAACTCTGGAGTGAGGGTTTATTTTTTCTCAGAGGGTATCGATTATGTGTTCGAAGATGAGTGTCCTGCAGGGAAGACACTTAGGTATTTATCATTTATCTATCGTATTCATCATCAGCTGATGAAAAACTTGTGAAACCGTTACAAACCCCCGAGATAATCCCTCTCACCCCCCAATCCGCGAAAGTCATTCAAAAATCGTTAAGGATGTTTTACTCGTATTTTGTTATTTTTCTTGTTTTTCTGAGATTTATTAAAAACTATCGATCGGATTGGGATATAAAAATATAGCGTTTGTCCGTTCCATCATGATTGACTCTCTCATAAAGTTTCATCCCGATACACTAATATTTACAACTTTCAACTAAAATTTAATAAAAAATCAATAAATTTTTACGAAAGGATAAATCATGATGTAACGGATAAACTCTATATTTTGATATTCCAATCCGATCAATAGTTTTAAAGATAGATAAAAAAATTAGACAATGATTTGAATAAAAAATCAAATTTTCCCGGAATAAAATAATAAAAATCTTCAAGATGGTCCCCAATTACTCAACTTCGCGCTTGATTACGATCACCTCGACAATTGCCGATCCCCGTTGGTACATTACGTAAAAGTTGCAGTAGAAATCTCTCCCATAACAAAACTCCCAACATAAACCGAGAGAAAAAAAAAAGTATCTGTGAATAAATCGTGCGGATTCGCAATAGCAAAACGAGTAGAATTTAAAAAATGTCAGTAAAAGCCAGACCCGTGGAGCATCATTTTATTAGGTATTCCATTATTCGAATAATAAAAAAAAAAACGGATAATAAATGTCTGACTTGACGGGACAATATAACGGAAGAGACTTCCTCGTTCTCTCTACTCGTACACGGTTATGACACAACACGGTGAAGCTTGCTGTAGGAAAAGTAAGGTAAGGCCAGTGGTATAATAGAAACTTTCACTGCGGCCAACGGTTCAATGTACCCAACGGGGCCTTAACTCTCACTGGATAACGTTTCACGCTGTTTTTTTCCTTCAAACTGAGTTCACGATGTGCAGGAATAATATTCGCCGGTTACTCACGGAATTTCACCATAAAAACCGATTTATATGAATCGAGAAGCGATT